CCCGCTTACCGAGCGCTAGCGCGCCCGGTTGCACCGCCTCCTTCGGCTGCGCCTTCTTACATTCGACCTTCTTGTTCTTGATCGTATGGAAGTGTATCTCGCACACGCGGTCCACCACGTCCTCGTTCTCGAAGGTGACAAAACCGAAGCCGCGATGACGTTTCGTTTGTTGATCCATCAGCATCACCGTCTCCTCCACCTTCCCAAATTGATTGAAGTAGGCCTTGACCTCGTCGCTGCTGGTGTCCTGACTGACACCACCCACGAAGATCTTCTTAGTGCGATTGGCCTGTTTCGCGCGATTCTTCGGCGTCGCGTGCTTCGGATCAATCTTCTTGCCATCCAGGGTGTGGATGGGACACTTGAGGACTTTGTCGACGCTACCGGGCTCGGCGAATGTGATGAAGCCGAAACCGCGGCTACGCTGTAACCGAACAAGCCGAGAACCGGCACGATGCACATGGACCGTCTATTGCGTGTCTCCCTCTTTTGTTGCGACTGCTTTTCGCTCTCGCAATCGAACGCTCCGACATCCGACTCATTTTTCCCGACTTGATCGAGGGTATACCGTTTTTATTCGCACTTCGTTCAGTTATCGCAAGACCGCTAAATGTTTAGGACGAGTTTTCATGACCATGAAAACTTTTCACGCGTTGGGACAAAGCTGATTATAATTTGTCGATTACTGCGAGTAAAATAAGTACCACACGATTTTCAGAAAATTACTGTTCACTTCTAGCCTGCTCAAATAGTCACCAAAACTGATCCGTTCGTCTTCTCCCTAACATTGCGGGTTCGATTCGGAATATAAGAATGCTCTGTGATTGCGAAATTATCCTGATCTTTAATAAATCCTGCTTTCGGTGATCTCTCGTAGCTTTTGTTATAAACGGTTAACTAGTGCTACCAAACTACCATTTGCATGCAAGACTGTCCAAGCCAATGTTTAAGACAAACATTCTAATGTTACGTGAAACAAAGACTGCGATAAGACTCAAATCCATTACGAACGTTAAGGAGCTACTAATATATATATAATATATATATAATATGTATAAATATTACGTCTGTCCCACCCATTCTCGTTCGCGAAATCTCCGATATTACACCCGCATTCGACATTTACCGCCTGCAAATCCGACAAAAGAAGAAAAAAAACAAAAACTCTGCCTCTCCCACCTTCTTTTAATATATAATGCGATTAATGCGATTAATAATACCTAATACAATCTACTTCTCTTGATACTTTATCAGCAATTAATTACACCGATTAGTACAACTTCTCATCTACTACGGTCTACTACGGTATATAGTTCGTGCAAAAGTGGAAGGAGAGATTGCTTGGTGCATCGAATCCTGTCGAGGTAAACTCCTTTCTCTCGCGGCATTTTCGCGGCCGACCCCCCGCGAAGCACGAGGATCGGGGTCGAGCCGAAAACCGTTACCGGCAAATCAACAGGCGCGGCATGAACGCGATTTGGAAACGCGTGGGCAATATACGAGGCTGTTCTCACCGTAAATTGAATAATATAAATTTAATCATATCCATGACATCAACAAAATATTCAATCAAAACTATTTTTGAAAATAAGTTTCTATAATCATATAAATTACACATACGATGCATTAGGAGATAGATAAGTACTGAATAAACTTAGAAATGTTAAATTAGAAAAAGAGATTAGAAAAACTAACTTCTCATACAAGTTTAAATTAAAAGATACTATTGCACGCATTCTCTTAATTAATGCGGCTTTGAAATATTATCAGAACGTGAAAACGCGAGATATAGGAATGAACGACTTTCGTTATTAGCTTGACAGCTGGTGAATTAGATGTCACGCGAGAACAACCTCGTACAATAAATAACCGTAATTGATCGGGCGAGCAAGCCGAGAGTTATGCTCAGATAGACCGACCTGCGTCATCGGATCCTTCATGATGAGAACATCGGTGACAGTGCCGAACATGTTAAAATATTCCCGTAGCTTTTCGCTGCTCGTCTGCCAGGAAAGGCCGCCCACGAAAAGCTTGCCCGGCGCCGGGTCGCCGCCGTTCGGCGTACTCCTGCCGGAGCTGCCTGAATGGCTACCGTTTATCGGCACCAACGTGTTGTGGAAGTCGTGCTCGATCGCGCCGTTTGTTGCCTCCATGCCGGCGCTGCGAACAAAAATAAATCGATCGTAAAACCATTTGCGGTCAAGCAAAAATCCACGTGCCATTCCGGCTCGTGTTAGTTTCCGTACTAAAAGCTATTAAATATTATATTATAATTTTATATAAGTTTTTTTTAAAACATATACCACCAATTCCTTTTATTTCTTAAAATAAAGCAATTTGAAAATAATATTGTTTATTCAATAACAATATTAATGAAACAAATAACATTTTATTAAAACAAGAACGTGACAAGAATGTGATTATTTTATTATTAATAGATACTAAAGAATTAACATGATTATTTTTAGTTAAACTACTGTTGACTAATATTGTTAATATATCATTTTTTCTATATATATAATTTTTCCTATATATATTTTTTTCATTCTTGTGATATATAAAGATGAACATTTTTAACTACAAAGCGTTTGCGTTAGTAATTTAATGCTAACATATTCGTGCGCAAATTAAATTATACATCAGTGTTAAATACAAACGGATTTCTATTTATTACATTTTGCAGCCATTCCTTGAGAAAAGCGTTCGTGCAGATGGCGATAAACATCTCACAAATATCGACAGTTTTATTAAGAGCTCGTGCTCGTATATTTTTCTTGTTTCAGTTGATACCGCTCGTCTTACTGAACGCTTGCGTAATGCTCGCCGTACCCTCCTTGATCTACCATAGATTGTTCATTACTACGATTGACGTTCAGTAAGTAGTGAGTTCTATGCTCTTCCGGATCGACGATAAAGTGAAACAAACACTCTGTCTCGCGCGACAAGTGTAAAAATAATATATCATTTCGCAAAACGATCGCGTCAGCAAACCCTGGAACTTGGACGGAAAATATAGCGCGGCCCGTCTATTCCTGTAAGCAATCTACATTCTATGTATAACGCCGATGTGTTAAGGTCACTGTGTCTGCCGAGAGCTAACGACCTTGGCACTGCCACGTTTTATGTCTACTTACGAGGAACTTTTACTTATGCCGTGTAATATGCCAAGCGGTCCGTTAAAAAAAAATATATATATTTTTATCACAGAATCAAGTAAAAACGGGAAATAACGTTCCTCGTCTACTGTTTTTTCGCATTTGCAATTTTTACGCATTCGTCAGGATTATGTAAATCACAAAAACTGCACGCGAGAATAAATACCTATATCTTTCCAAGTATAAGCGGATAATATTGTTGTCTTTTAGGTTGACCGATTACCAAAGATACGAAATTCCATCAGTACCGAGATTTTACGACCTGCGGAATCCTCGTATTTTGAAGGTGAGTTGTTCGCAAAATAAAAACACTTTTATTCTTGACGTTATAAAAATCATTTTCTAGTAGTTACTTTTGACATTTTCATAAAATTTATTTTTCATGAAATAAGTTTTTAGATAGTGTTCTCGTTTCATCCAAGCTGTTGTGTAGAATAATCGATAATCTCATGAGAAAAGAAAAACAATGTGTCCGTCCATGCCCTGTCTCTCGCAATATCCATAAAAAAAAAATCTCCGACCATCCACTGTTGCCACCGAACGCGCTTACATTTAATATCTAGAGACACGGATGAGCGCCAATATCTGATCAATTATTACGCCTGATGTAAAACATTCAGTTAAAGTAATTAATTAAAAGCAACGTGCACATAATCTGTAGAATTACGTGTCACTTATGACGTTTGCTATTATAAAACGAGATTAATTCTGACAATGATGTCATTATCATCCTTGATTAATTATTTTTACAATTATATTAATTAATTGCGTATGGCATTATTGTTGTCTTGTCTATATTCGCTTATATTCGACGTCGTTAAATAATTCGTGTTTTGACGTCACGAACCTACTGTGTTTATCGCGTTTAAAAATCTGTTACATTGTTTTATTCCGAAAGTCTTCGTCTCCTTATAATTAATAAATTACAAGATCGTTTCACGCCACATAATTTAATTCTTGATCAAATGCGAAATAAAAGTGCATTGCAGTTGGCTACTGCGGCATCTTTGATAGAATTATTTTGTCTTTTACTTATGCTGTATCCATATAATAATAACGAGCATCATGTCGTGAATTTTGCCATCGCAAAGCAAGACTGTACGCTTTTAAGGTATTTAAAAATTTAGCTAAATACAAATCTAAAAATAATTTTGTGGAACCATCAAAATTATTATTATAGGACGCTCAAATTGGTAAAATGTCAAAACTTGTTGTAAGCCTTTTGTAGCTCCTTATGTTTGAGATTTCCTACGCAATTATTTTGATGGTTCAATAAAATTATTGTCAAATCTACATCTAACTAATTTTTAAAAGTAAAATCGTCCTTTCCGTGTGGCTGCAGACATTCTGTGCGCGCTTTATTCACGTCCGATACATCCCTTCTTTTCTTTCAGTTAGAAAGATATCTCATATATCGCGAGTAACAAACCAATATCCCATCTACGAGCAGTACTGGCGTGGTCTCGCCCATGCTGCGTCTCGCATGTGACTCGAGAGATACGTATGAAACTAAGAGAAACTATGGTCGTTCCGTCGTGTATATCTAACCGGAGATATACCGTGCCGTCGCGATGCCTTTTCCCTCAGGATCCCAGCGTCGTAACGCGTCGTACATTCACCGCCAGCACCGACGGCGTTACGTCCGTACAGCGGGGGTGCGCGCGGGAAAGGAGAGGATGGCGAGTGGACGGGACAGCGGGGTGCGCTGTGTAGCAGCGGGGTGGACGGTCGGAGGAGAGCCACGGGGGTTGCGCGTTAGCCCGGTTCGGATATATCGCCGCGAGCGGCATGGTCGACATGCGCGCGACGAAGGGTGTCGCGGGGATGTAGGGCGGGTGGCATACAGGGGTTAGAGCAGGATGGAGTGCGGCGAGGGTGGAGCGGAAGGTCCGGACGAGCGAGAGAAGAGAGGAGAAAGAGCCAGGAGGGCGAAACGAGCGAGTCGTTTGGGGTTGGGAGTGGCGGCGGCGGTGGGACGAAGTGGCGCGAGGGAGAGCGGGTGGTAGTTGCCTGTCGTGGGGCACAACGCCGACGAGAACGCGCAGCCAGTGGATCAATACACCCCTCCGCGGCGTTCTTCTCGCCGTGTGCGGCTCGCACCACCGCACGGCTCTCGGCGCCGCTCGCTCGGTCATGTCGGCTTCGGTCTCCCGCGATCTCCCTCCTCCGAGGAAGCCGCGATCGGTCTCACCGAGGAAAACGTCTTACGACGTTTCCTCTCTTCATATTCTTTTTGTCTCCTTTCCCTCGTCGTAAGCTTTCTTCAACGGAACGTCATGATTATTAAACTCTTCCTTTTTTTCACGCTTTTCGCACTTATCGCTATCTTACTCCATTCGCTCTCACATTGAAGGTACGTCACACGATCGTACGTCTCGTTTCCAAGGGGGACGTTTATTGCCGTTAATATCGGAAAATTCTCCAGACGATTTTTTACTGGAGGGTAAAAAGTTGCAAGTTAAAAAAAGGATGTCTAGAGCGCGATATATCGTTTGCATCTTCCCTGCGATTTACTGTATCAAGCAGTCCTTTAACATTCGAAATGTCGTCTCTTGAAATCAGAATTTTTCCAATACAGCGATATCTTCAGATTGTCTTCCATTTAGTCCAAAGAGAAAATCAATCAATGGAACATCCACCGTGCATTCGTTCGTCCGTACGCACGCACGCATCGAATCCACGAAGTTGTGAGAAAAAAAACTCCGCAAGTCTCGTAATTAGATTTACGCCAGGATTAACGCATCGTTTTCATCAACAAATGTGATCTATGTTAAGTCTTTAAATTTTTTTGATTTTTTAATTATTTCGGAACAATGTTTATCTGTTTGTGTTCGTGTCTTCACACGTTACTGTTCACGCGAATTTAAAATTGTGTGCAAAATAATTCCGCGCGTTACAGATTTAATTTTCTCGTTGATGCGTCGTACGCTTTGCGGTTATCGAGCTATCGCCGCGAAATCGAAATATCGCCACGTAAACTGAGATTTAAAAAAACTGTTTGATGTGGTTCGAGTGGACGATTGCACAATCGGCCAGCGTGACGTGGGTTATCGACTATTTAATCGAACCATATTGTCATCGAAAAAAGATACACATCGGTAGATATATGGTTTTCGCGGCAATGTAAATAGCGATCCATAATCGTTCGATGATGCGATCATAAACGCGCATTATAAAAATTCATGAATGTCCATAACGCAACAAGCCAAGCATCCTCTTTTCCCGATGACCTCGATCGTCTTACGTTACGACGGTGAGGACGGGACGTGAGGTGAAAAAGTGAGTGAAAGAAAAAGAAAAAATAAAGAAAAAAGGAAAACAAAAGGGAGAAGGGTAGCGAAAGGGAGAGGAAGAGAAGTAACGATAGAAAGAGAAGGGATGAGAAAAAGAGAGATAGGAGGGAGAGTTGGATGGCTGAGGGGTGGCGAGACCAGTGTAGTGAGATCGTATGTACTTTCAGTATTTTCAGTATCGCTAGACATCCCTAGTACCAAGCAGCAGTCTCCGCGTCCGCCCCCAGCAACGTCGAGGGGTCGTACTCGGTCCCCCTCTCGCGCCGGTGCTACTCTTCCGCGCCCTGTGAGTTCTCTGTATCCCTCCCTGTCACGTATACGCACACAAACACACACAGATAAACACGCGCAAATACTCTCTCCCTCCCGCGCATGCGTGCGCACGTACACTAGACCGGAGGATCATATCGAAGACGAACAGGGTGAATTTTCCTCGCGGTGGGAGAGGCTCGAAGGTAGAAGAGCCCCAGTCCTAGTGGGGAGGAGGCGGGTGGGTGGTTGGGGAGAGGGTGCGGAGGCGCCGCCGCCACCGAGCGACGCAGTGCCGTCGGGACGCTCGACCGAATGATACGGCCTTCGCAAAGGGGTATTTTTCGCCGGCCGCCATATCTCGCTCAACAATCCGTTTGACTGCCGCACCGAGAAGCAGTTGGGAAGAGAAAGAGAAAAAGACAAAGAGAGAGAGAGAGAGAGAGAGAGAGAGAGAGAGAGAGAGAGAAAGAGAGAGAGAGAGAGGGAGCATCGAGAGAAGAGCAGTACTAACCCCGAACAAGGGGAAGGAAGACATCGGAGAGAAATCAGCCCACCGGCCGGGGATATTGTCCTGTCACAGCAGTACGCCTTTAAAGAGTTACTGGTGTGATGGGACATTGTCCTCGTCCTGGTGGTCCACTTCCAACCACGTCATCATCATCACCGTCAAGACTTGTCGAGACATAGGAGGATGTGGAAAGTGTATCATCGATTAAAAGTCGAATTGGTGTCGCGTGCTTTTGCCAGACGGTTTTCGCGATCAAGGGGACCGATAGAGGGTGAAAAAGTAAAAAATGGAGACGAAGATTTTATGAATGTTTGCATGATTACGGTGGAACTCTACGAACGGAAACAAAGAGGAAACGCCCGAACGCGACTGTTGTGTTACGTTGACCACCGGGTTTTTTTAACTCTTATAAACTATTACATTGTCCTCGATACTCGTCAGCGTGGACACACCATGGTACAGCAATGGTATTTCCAGTCGATAAGGCAGCTACCGAGAGGCGCGGCTGCTCGCCACACTGGTCGATTCAAAGAGCCGTTCTCACTTTCCTCAGCCGTCAACAGTTCTTTTTCTGCCCCTTTATTAAAATGCAGAAACGCAGAATTATTTTTAAAAATAGTGGAAATCGTTTTAATCGGTTTGTTGCGCAAGAAGACTGTTTGAATCGCCAAGGATCATGAAGTCACGACAAATGACAGAGGCATTCCGTTATCGGGACGCATCTACGTTGTACCTATAGTCCGCAAAATGGCCGGAGCGCGTCCGTGGATATTCCTGCGCGTTATCGTCGCGCAGTGACCCCTCGTTGAGAAATAACATCGCGTGTTGCTCGTATTAATCCGGAAAATGCTGATCTACTGCGGGCCGGTCGCCGCCCGGATGAGCTCCGGAAATTCTCTCGTTCGTCATTGATCGCACGAACACGACGGGTAATCCAATCGAAAGTCGGAACTGGAAGAAGGTCGTAGGTTGTAACATAGTTTCGGTGGAGGTCGGATGTGTCTACTCGTCACTCGTGTGAGATCGATACTTGAATAGGCAGAGGATTCGCGAAGGGCAAGTTTTGCTCTGGCAAATTCGCATGAAACCATAAGATTGAGATTAAAATATTGTCTAAAGAATATATAATGAAATTCAGAAATTTATTAACAGAATCATATTTGCGGTGTTATATATGACATTTCGATATTTTTCGTGACGCATGCTTCGATACTTCGTTGCCAAGTAATCAAAGATTAAAAGGTGGCGGCCTCTCTCTCTCTCTCTCTCTCTCTCTCTCTCTCTCTCTCTCTCTCTCTCGTTATTTATCTTCTTCTATTAATTCCGCACCTACAATAACCGCGCCACGACCATTTACTGAGTAATGAATCGGCCCTATTTCCGTTTACGACTAGCACATGGAATTGGAGCGACACTGCAAAGGGGTGGCGGACAACGGGGTCGATGAAAAGGTTAACGCTAGGTTGAGGTCGATCGTAAGCCTTCTGTCACTACTTTCTTTTCTTTTATTTTCCTATTTTTTATCCCGTCTCTCTCACGATTACTTTAACTTCAACATGGAAGAAGTGATCTTTGCTGTTCACAATAAACGCAGTTCCCGACTCAGTTTTCCGTTCTATTCAAAATTCGCATTCACAATAATTAGACTGTGTAGCATTATAGAAAAAAAACAAAATTTCATCACTCTCTTAACCTTTCGCGATACTTCAAGTTCAATATAGAAGAAGTGATGATTTTCGCTAAACAGTCCTTGACTTAGTTTTTATTTAGTCTAAAAGTCATAGTAGGTTTTCAAAGCGATTGCTTAGACCATAATACTATAGAAACAATGAAAAGAAATAAATTCGAGGATTTTATTAGACATTGTAAACAATAAATTTTAGTATAGGTGAAACTGAAGCGGCAAAGCGGACTATCTTCCCACTTGGTGTTATACCGAGGTTTTTGCATTCTGATGGTACCGTGGGAAAGGAATCGAAATAATTCCGTTGTCGAGTCAGAAACATCATTTCTAATTTCGTCCGTATTACCTTTTGATGTTCTAGTTTTTCTCGGCTGAATTAAGTAATATTGGATATCGATTTACATTTCCACCAACGCGTATTTAGATCTGGCTGAAAAGGTTTGTTCTTCAATTATAGACGATACGAAAATATCGTTGTATTCGATCAAATGAGACTTCAGAGAAAGAACGTTTTGTAATCTGTTCGATCAGACTTCATCTGAGATAAAAAGAAAAATTGCTCGCAAGCTTGAATAACCACGCAAATTGCTTTTCTCATGAAAGTTCAACGAAGAAGAAATGTTCTTCCACGATCCTCAATCTTGCTTCGTATAATCCATAGCATCGCCGTAATCTTTGTACAATATTCTTACATTGCAATAATTCAAAAGCTGCATTATCGGATGTATCTGCAGCACTCTCATCTTTTATTCAGTAGTATCTTCAAAGTGCACCACCGTGTGTCTCAACAGCCACAGTCATGTGTAAGAAAAAGTTCGAACGAAGAGAGTTAAGGAGGAATCAAGTCGGAGGTAAGCTCTAAAGTGAACAATTTCAAAACTAGTGCATACTTGGTACAATGAAACGTCAAGCGAAAAAATATTGAGGAATTCGTTTTAGAAGACGAAGATGCGTTTTTGACTGAATGAACACCTGCCGGATGCACTATTTCTTTTGGGATTTGATTAGCTGTCGCATTAGCCGGGCGAGGCATGTCAGAAGGTCGGAAAAGCAGCAACCCTATCGACATGACTGTTCCACGTCGAGCCACATTGATAAAACTACTGAGGTTGGATCTCGCACGGTTGGTAGTGGTGATGCGGTGGTGGTCGTGTGTTTGTCGTAGGGGATACAAGTGTGGGGAATATGGATGGAGGACCGGTGGGCATTGGGGTGGGTTTGTCGTGCAATCCTCCCGGTCCCCGCGCAGGTAGCTCAGGGCACCGACGCCAGGCGGCAGCACTGCCTTCATCCGTGTGGATCACTAGCATCTCTGCAAACATTGCTCTTTATGCGAAGCGGTGTTTGCAGAGGTGCCAATGATACACGAATCTTAGCTGAGACGTCGGGTGGCTCGATCCGCGGACTAGCAATCCATGGATCCGGGTTCGATCCCATCCACGCCTCACATACGCACGATTTTTTCTACGTTTAAGCAATGCTCTATCTGTGATTTAGAAAAACCTAACGTATCTTAGATTAAGGAGCATCATTGCTCCACTGACTACGCACTCTCCGGATTAAAGAAGTTAAGTTTGGTTAAGCATATGTAAAGACTTTAGCTAGTTGACAAACTTCTGTGACGTGATCTGACCAATTGCCTCTTTACCCTGTTGAGACAGGAACCAATAAATAAGAGAGAGAAAATGATCTTGACGGAGAGCTTCAAAGACTTAATTTATAGACTTTTCAGTCCGTATCTAAATAATATGTTAAATATGGTCAACGAAAATGAGAGAGAGAGAGAGAGAGAGAGAGAGAGAGAGAGAGAGAGAGAGAGAGAGAGAGAGAGAGAGAGGAAGCGTGAAGACGGCCATTTCCCATTACACCGTTGAATAGAAAGAAATAAGACTAGTCGTTTTCGCGTCCTATTTTATTAATTTCTGTCGATTAGTTTGACACACGGATGGCACAGTCTACAGATCATGTCTTTGGAGAGCAATACGTCGGAAGAAGAGAAAGAAGATCGATGCAGAGAGAAAGCCCGGTGTGCCTTACCATCGGGATGCGGAGGAACATGGTGGAAAAGGAAAGGGAGAGAAGGGGAAAAACCTCGCCATATTTAAATCTCCGTGAGAGTCTTTAGATAGAGAATTCTATAAATGTGTAGAATCTAGAGTATACACTATATCTGGCACTCGCAGAGATGTGTAGTTTTTTAGTGTATTATTATATTATTATTATTAGATATTCCGCTGTAAGATTCGGTCTGTACGATCTTGAATAAATTATACCGATATCGGAATTTCTGTTGCTTACTGAACGCTCCAATTTCGCTTTCGATCGGTCTTTATCGAATTATCGAAAATTATCTTAACTCAATTTACTAATTAAGCAAATTTGATCCGTTATTGGAGAGAACCACTCAAATCGCACTTCAAATCGCAGTTATATTTTTGGCAACATAAAAATTTTTTGGTAACTTCAAAACTATGAAAATTCGCGCGCACGCGGAAAAGGAGTGTCCATGTATACGTTCCTCTGTCACTGGCGACTTTATTGATATTAATGTGAATAACTCGAAAATAAATAAAAAATATTTTGATAACGAACAAACACGCAAATGGCATATAAAGTAAATTATTAGAGAAATATATTTCCCCGAGCAATTCGCATGCTTTGCACGTTGCTATCAGAGTAATTAGATTATATGCACACGTTGAAAAAAGTCCGGTTGCATTAATTGGAATTCTGGTTGAAAATGAACAAATTAGAATTTTCTGGTTGAATCTAAGATATATTTCTAGTCGAGATAACCGGAATTCTAATTCATAATATGATCAGTTTTCTTTCCATTTTCAACCAGAAAATTTTCTCAATGCACATTCCGTAAATGTGTCAAACACTATTCTAAAGAAACGCACCTCTTTGCCATCTCCCTCGTCTTATTTCCTATCTGTGTACGTTCTACTCCCCGTCTATCCAATGGAAAAAAATTTCAGTTCTCATTCTACAAACGAGAGAGAAATATTGCAAGGAAATGTAAAATCGTAGTTCCAGCAAACGAAAAAGCAGACTAAAAAAAAATATTCCAAGTGTGATTTTCGAAGCGTGAAAAAATGCAAGAGTGACTACGACCTATACACACACACACACACACACACACACACACACACACACACACACACACACACACACATATTCTCGGGCAAGCGACGTACCTTCTCTTTAGAACTTTTTTTTGAAGGTCTTTATAAAGGGAACGACTGTGCGGTAGTGGAGCGAAGGGCTGCCGCGTTTTAATTTATTTTAATTTAGGCGATATTAGTTTTAATTAAGGCGCACAATTAACGCGGAATACATCGTCGGCTTGTGACATGACGTGCTATAAGCGAGACGAAGATAAACCTTTAAAAGCTTTGAGAAGTTTAAGTGGATTTTAGGTGGAATGTAAATACTGATCGTGCATTGCGGCGCGGGCGTGTATTCGTTAGAAGAAACATCGCGAAATTTTTATAGGACTCTATGTACGTGCGTTTTATTCGATATTCGATTAAAATTTTCAGAGAGATTTAGTTATTACTGAAAATATAAAATTCGTTACAACAAGAAACATATAGAATATTTTCAGTGAATTTGATTTAACAATATTATAAGGAATTACATTATATGAGGAAACTCTCTGAAAAAAGTTGTAAAAAGATATAAATATAAATACACATATAATATATTTAAAAAGAGATATAAATATTTAATATAAAAATATTAATATAAAATAGGGAAAATTCTTTAGAAAAATAAATAAATTTTATCTTATTCTATTATTAAACATATTAATACCGTTATTTTCCTAATGTGAAAAATTTCATACAGTTTAATAACTTATTCCTGTTTGTATTTCTCTTAAATAATAGCACTTATCTTTCTTGTTGCACTTTTCTAACACAATATAACAATAACATTCGAACTCGTTCCGGAGTTTCTGTATTTTTTTCCATCTTTCTCCCAAGCATCCCTCTTCTCAAGTTTTCCCTCTCTGATTCTTGTATCCAGCACTCACGTTATTGGATCAATACGCAAGATTCCAATTAATCCACGGGGGGCATTCCCCTCGACAGATGGCCAACGGAAAACACTATAGTCTGCTATACCGACCCTCCCAAAAGCACATCGTCTTACGCATTATCCAGCACACAATAATGTGTTCCAAAAATGGCTTCGCGATAAAAATGTCAATGCAAAAATTAATACGCAGTAACTTGATGCATGATATGTATTATTACTTTATATATTTATCTTATATATAATTTAAACAGTAAAATAATCAAAACGGAACATAAGCTTCGATAAGCAGAACTGAAATATTGCGAAAGCACTATTTCAGTTTAATACTATATTAATGTTTATTGTTTGATGTTTCTTCTATGTCCGTATTTCTCTGATTCAATTTCGGCTGTTTTCTAAAAATTTTTAAGTGTTGCATATTTTAGACAATAAAATAGTGATAAATAAATTGCGTAAACCATATATTGCCATTTAAAAGACAGAATTAAAAGGATTGTAATGTAAACATCCAAAGATTGATTGCGCTTTCAATCTATTTGTGACGTATGGTTTTCCATTTTTACGAGGAAATAATTTTTGAAAAAGATACTGGCCACGTGTTATAAAATTTGTAAAGCCGCATGTGAGCATAACTTTTTTTAGAATAATTACGGGCGACTGCTGCGAATGCAAATCGTGAAAATGTTTTTGTTCTTTTTCGACTGAGATTGGGAATCCTGCTAATGGCATCATTAAGCAGATCGATCAGAGACGATTTTCATTCTACGGTTCGCACGATTTCATTGTCCTTTCAGTAGCAATCTTCCCTTCTATACTTCTATCTAGGCTAACTATCCCTTAACATTTCTTTTTCCTCTATTCTTTCTTTTAACTGAATTCACCATCGCAATTAGTCTAACCACATCGTCTCCGAGGTTCCTTCAAAGAAATCCGCATATTTACTTTAGAATGCAGCGTTTATTTTCTTCTTCGCGTTTCGTCGATTAAGACTTTTACCCTGAATAATTTCCGAAGTAATTACAGACTACCGTTCCAATGTGAATCTCGCGAAATCGCTTTTCATCTTGACATCCACAAGTCTTCATTACGGTAGCATGTATTTTAGGATTGATAGCCGCACAAAAAGGGAAAGTCACTCCCTTTAAATGACACGATACCGACCTACATTTATCACGATATCACACATTTCCCTTGGAGGATCGGTCACTTCACATGTCGCCACGCAGTTAATACGACCGCGCGGTTATATTAATCCACCTCGTCCCGCCGCATGTGGGCGTGGCGGTGTTTGCATTTAATTAATCATCTTGGCGCGGTACAATACCACCGCGCGATTCTATCGATCCGCCGACTGTCTCGAAATCATTTATTATACGGCATTATATTCCAGTTCGTTGCAGCGAATATTTACCAAAGCATTCTCACATGGTGAAATTTAATTTGCCACGTGCGTTACGTATTCAAACAATAATTTCCGAGCAGTAACTTTTGAGTTTATATCTGAAAATTGCGGAATTATTTAGAATAATTCACTGCAACGCTGCGATACGTTTTCAATGATATTAGTGACAACATTTACAAGTGTAAATGATGTAAGAATATAAAATGTTTCATTATGCATAATAATATCGAATATAATTTTGAGGCAAATTCCTTATTTGTAACAAATTTCTAATAACGTTCTATTAGCTTAACAGATAACATTTTAGGCTAATTTCTGATTGATTATTGATATCCACGAGAATGAAACATTTACGTCATGGGGACAATCACACACATATTTTCTGTGATTTTAAAATATCAATTAAATAAATAAGTTAAATTTTTTAATGATGGTATAATTTTTCATTAATTTCATTATTGTCAAATATTTTAATACCGTATACATCAAGCATTATAATTATCCAAATTGTTTCTAAAATTGTTAATGTAAATAAGATTCCCATGAATATATAGATAAACCTTGCTGCACCTTACTATCAGAACAATAGTTACATCTTAGAGATTATTATTGCTTCTTAGTTAAATATACAATACTTAGTTAAATATACCATATATTAAAATATATATGGTATTATCGAATTCAAAGCAGTTATTATAGAGCGATTTGTGGTAAAAGTGAATGGGGACTTATTGTGTGGACGTACGATAAATATAAGGTTGCTTCCAGGATATGCGAAAGAGATACACGCGATAAGAAACGGATAATGAATTTACCCGTAGTGGGTAAGCTACAGTCGGCAATATACAGCTACAATTTCCTATCTTGCCGACATACACGTTCTATTCCGATATACCAACGGAGTCAAGCCGATAAATACCGAAATTATAATGCATTTCACAGTTATTCAAATACACATACACTTGGCAACAGCAGCACATATATCTATACATCTATATATATATATATATATGTGTGTGTATATAATTTATATAATATATAGATATATATTATACACAGGGTCCAGCTGAATAACATGTAAAAGCGAGCACGACGAGATTCCTTATAAAAAAGTAAAAAAAACATGTAGAATAAAATTTTTCGACTTTCTGCTTAGTTTTCGAGAAAATCGAGTTTGAAAATTCATTGCGTACGTATGCTATTACGGCTAAGCTACGGTTTGTCGAGCGATTAATCACGCAACTAATTACGCATTCGAGCAATTAAAAAACCAAAATACGTTGCCAAAGGTTCAGGCATCGATAATTTGGTGAGCATAGTTATGTATTCGACAACGAGGACAACAATTCCAGCAATACTGTAATTGATAAAATAAAATTTTGTTCACTAAAAATTTTCTTTGTGTTTTTCCTTAAACCTAATAGCTTTTAGATTCCGTGTATACATTATTTATAAACACTATACGCGTTATACACCCCCATTAACCTAGACCCCCCACCATCGAAAATCAAATTCGCGATAGGTCAAAAATTTAGTGCTCTTTTGTTGCTAATTAGTTGCTCTAGAGCGAAATTTGTTGCTCCAACCGTTTAGCAGCAATAAAAAAAAATGGAGGGGGGTCCAGGTTAATATAAAGCTGGACCACCCCCATAATGAAAAAATATA